TGTTAAAATGAATCAAACAATATCTTTAGGATATACATTGGAATGATATCTGGAAATGACACCACTGTTATACCATGTTAAAACCTGCATTTGTCTTTGGGCTGTGGCACAAGGGATAACTCCAGGTGGAAGAGCGTCTCTGCACATCTCTGTTGGAAATGTCCATCTCCAATCCTAGGTGCCTCTGAGTTCATCATGGGATCTATCAGTCAACTGCTTTATCATTCCAAGAGTCGTCTGAGCAAACAAATACTCTGAGATTCCTTTCCCCACTTGGCATGTGCACAGGCTCGCTTCAGACTTTCTCCTATAATGCACTTTACCCAGAGTGACTCCCTTAACTTTGCCATCATTTTAGATGTATGTACACTTAGAATTCTCCAAATGATTAATGTGTGGTTTGTTTTACTAAACATTTAGTACATTCTGTTATTTCTCTCTTATTTTATTATAAGCACCAAGAATCAAAGATATAACCTCAGCACAGTATTTGCAAATATCATTAACTACACATATTTATTATTCATGAGATCTGCAATATATAAGTTTTTGAACTCAGTACACTGAAGCTTTCTAACTCTTTAATAAGGATCTCTTTTTCCTCTGGGTTCCAATAATATTTCTAATTTCCTTCTCTGTCCTTACTGGGAGTGCCTTAGCAGCCACACTTGTGCTAAAAATATATTTAAGCAAACCAAGGATTTTCTCTTCTGAATCTCATATGCTTGCTATCCTTTGTTTTTTTTTTTTTCTTTTTTTGGTTTTTCTCCGGTACCGGGAACCGAACTCATGACCTTGTGCTTGCCAGGCAGGTGCTTTTGCCGCTGAGCTAAATCCCCAGCCCCTGCTTGCTATCCTTTGTAAGTCACCCAATTACCCTGCCATTTTCACATGCTGAGGTATTAGTTACAGGCACTAATATCTGCTGCATGTGTAAGAAGATGTTACTTAAACACAGCACAATTGCACCATCAGAGTTCCGGGAATACAATCTCTGAAAGAAATCTCTCTAGTCTGAAGCTCAGTTCTCACTCCTCAGTGGGACAGCATTTGCCACCTCCCCAGGTTAAGGAAAAACTTTCTTTTCCTTCTGTGGCTCCTGGTCCGTTCCTTCCTCATGAAACCCTGCAGCTGAGCATCGGTGTCAGCCTTGACACCACCTCCCTCTTCTCCTGTGCTCTGCCCATCCTCTGTCTTTTTTCTTTTTTTTTTTTTTTTTTTTTGGGTTTTTCTCCGGTACCGGGAACCGAACTCACGACCTTGCGCTTGCCAGGCAGGCGCTTCTGCCGCTGAGCTTAATCCCCAGCCCCCCTCTGTCTTTTTTCATGAGGACAGCTAGGAAAAAATAAACATCAGTATCATGTTATGGGCCCATGAAGCAATATAAAAATGTAGATTGAACAGTAGAATAGAAATCTGGAGACAGGAAGGTCCAGGATCACTGGTGCGATCTGGTTCCTGTCACAGAAGGAGCCCAAGAAACACAGTGGAGAGAACCCGGAGGGGGAGATGAAGAACAGCTGCAGGATAAAAGAGGAGCAGGAGAAGGTGAGAGATCCTAGGGGCGCACACCATTAATGTTACCTCTGGAAGCCACCAGGAACTCTAGGTGAGGATGCAAATAGATTCTTCCACGCTGGGACAGGAGGAATGAGGAAGAATGAGTGAGAAATGGACTCAGATTCTGCTCTAGACACACACTCAGGGAAGGACTTTTCCAGACATATATCCTACTTGGAGGGAAAACATTCTCCTAATTTCAGACCAACCATCCATCCTTCAAGTGTGACCTCAAGGACTCAGAATAGTCCATAGAAGACACAAATGAAAGGAAATGCAGTGTCCTCCAGAAAGCAGCAGAGGATAGGCTCAACAAAATGAGCCCAATAGCAGTATGTCGTAAACATAGGAAGTCACAGAGACTTGACCAGGAGAGCACAGAATCCCCCGCGGTCATGCTCCCCAGTGTGATGAGAGTTGGTTACAGCTGAAGGAGCAGCAAGAACCAGGTCCATCTGAGAGGAGAACTTAATGAAGCCACAGACAGCAGAGGAGAGGACAGGACAGCCCTTGCAGCCTCTCCCTCTGCCACCTGCCAGACCCTGCTCAGAGTCCCCCAGGGCCTCAGACGGCCTCTCCCTTTGGTGTCCTTTGCAAAGTTTGAATTCCCCTGGGATTTTTTTCACACAGGTGTGCTCATGAGGGCATCTAGTTTTGCATAATCAGCAAGACACACACGTTCCTGTAGGGAAGAGCCGTTACACTCAGGTAGACTCAGGGGTGAGTGCGCCCATGTCTGCTAGGGTATGGAGTCAGAAGGGGGAGACATTAGCATGTGTAGCCCACCAGTACAGCACTGTGTCTTTCCCAGTGTTAAGGTGTCCTGCAGAAGCTGAGTGTCCTGAACGGAGATAAACCAGCTCACTATGAAACTGCAGTCTCCACCAGGTCACCCAACACCACATCACCATCATCGGTGGGCAACAGTGCTGCCTCCCAACCCATCTTCTCGAGGTCTAACATTATACAGATTGGATTGCAGGGAACTCTGAGTGGAACCACATCCTCCTATGAGTGCCCTCATCTGCGACACCGGGCTCGTGTTTCTGGTCTGTATCATTGGGCTATTTCCGGATATGTCTTTTGATGGAAGTGAGGTCCAGGGATCTGCACGGTGTGATAGGGACCCATAAACACTATCTCTTGTGGGAAGTGCTGGGTTCACATTGCAAAGGACCAATCTCTGAGGTGGAGGATGGGGCCTTCCTGGGTCAGGTCTTGCTCAGCTCACATACTGCCCAGGCTGGCCTGGTGTGATTCAAAGACCATTGCCAATGGCAACACCAAGGATCCTCGACCTGGACTGACCCAGCCCAAGAGTTGCTTTGCCTCTGTAATTGACATGGAATGTTGTTCCTGCTATGCAGCTCACCTGTCCAGGTGAGCAGGAACAGGTTCTCAAAGGCACATCCACTGTGAGGTCCAGGTCCAGGCCACATAGATTGCCTTTGCTTTTGACCCTGCTCTATACCGGTCAGATTTTGCTCACATAGCCCTCATGCTGTACATTTGTGCTGTCCTGGGGTGGATATTCCTCCGAACACTGGGCCCTACCGGATGGGTCCAGTCTACACTCTCATGCATACGACACAGGGCCATGCACTTACCTGCATGCTGGGTGGGATGACTCTCTGTGGGCCGCCCTGGCCTCACCATTCAAAGGTCCAGTGTACTGTGAGGACAAGAGACTCAAGGTGTAAACCATGCCTGTTTCCCTGCATGCAGTTGCTTTGACGTCAGAGCAAAGTAGTGTGAGACACAGTATTTGTGTGGGCTGACCCTCAAGTGCATATAAGATGAGGATGTACATGCCATCCTCCAACTCTATCCACTGTCTTTGCTGTGGTCTTATGGGAGGGGCAGTGGATAGGGGTAACATTTCTCCCTGGTCCCTGCACCTGTCTCTGCTCAGGCTCCCCAGAGAAATCAAAACAACAAGAGCATCTGAACTCTTGCAAGGTCACTGTCCAGCCTTGAGAGACCTACCTCAGGAAATCCGTCTATTCTTTGCACTTCCCCGAGAGTAAGAGGCTCCGTAAGAGGGTGCCCTTGTCCAGGACAGTGTGAGAAGATCAGCTTAGTCCCAAAGGAGCCTCGGAACCCAGTTCATTCATTTCCCATTGGCTGGGGACACTGTAGGAAATTCCTTACGATCGAGACAGGAACATGTGTACATTGTGGGAGGGAAACAAGGAGCTCAGGCCCCACTCTACACAGCTGCAGCCCAGGCGCAGGTGGCTTCCTGGAGCAATGACTTCCTGGGTCTGAGTTCCACTTTCAAAAGCTGTGATCTAACATTGGAAGTTTATAAAGGGAGCACATATTTGAGAAATGTCCTGTTTGGGTGAGTTTACCTAATTGAATAACACAAGGACAGCCACTCACAGGGCTTTCTACTATATGGAATATCATGGTAGTAAGATGATGGAACACAGGAAGGAATTTTCTTAAGTCAAATGGTGTAGCATGTTGGGAGACACATGTCCCAGTGTCTCAGTTTAGTATTTATCTCAGATCTTGGTGTTGACCTCAGGGCTGAGTGGATGGCACAGTGGTGGAGGGTAAGAGAAAGTGGCAGGTGCATGGTCTGTATCAGTAGTGGCGAACCTATGGCACTTGTGCCGGGCAGGCTGTGTGTAGCATTGAGAGCTCTAAAAGGTTCACCATCACTGGTCTGTGTGGATGAGAGCAATGGATAATAATGGTTTATGTGGATGAGATTAGTGGGTAATGATACAGAGCTGTTGATATAACCTGAATGTTTGAAAACTAATAAGTTATGTGAACTTCAGCATAAGACCCAAACATAAAACAAATTCTCATGCAAGACTCTGGAAACTAAGTCACTAAAATCCCCATTCAAAGGATGGGAGCAAATATACAGCCGTGTACCACATATCACATTGCTGGTCTCAGGACAAAATTTCTTCCTATGGAACAGGTGAAACCTGAACACCTCAGACAGGTGCTGGAGAAACCCTCCCAGGAGGCCCGGCCATTATCAGTGATGTCTGTTGGTCTTTCTGTGCACTTGGGTGGGATGAGCAGAGCACCTCTCTCAGAGTCAACAATGGGCTTTCTTGGTACTTGAAGGAGGCAGCATGGGGTCAGTGCACCTGCTCAGCATCACAGACAGTGATACCCCAGAGGACGCTCGGGAGTCTAGCAACCACTAAATCTAGGATTTGCACTGCAGAGCTTATTCTGCACAGGCTTGATTGTCAGGGGAAGGAGTTCTGTCTGCACAGGGTCCAGGGAGGTGACAGAGGATGCATTTTCTCAGACAGGATAAGTACATGGGCCCCAGCAACCCACTGTAGCATGATCCATGTGTCATGTACCCCGTCCCCCTTCACAGGATTGCTCAGGTGTTTAGCTAAGAAGACTCCTGACTTATGAATATGCAAATAACATCAGTTATTTGGGAAATACAAATATGTCTGTGCCCTCGATCATCCCACAACCACCACTCTCCTCTGCAGAATCCCCCAGAGCACAGCTCCCCGCCATGGACCAGACCTGGAGAATCCTCTTCTTGGTGCTTGCTGCCACAGGTAAGGGGATCCCTACTCTCAGGCTGAGGTGGAGACCAGAGGCTCTCAGTGCCCCATTCCTGTCTCCTCTCCACAGGTGCACACGCCCAGGAGCAGCTGGTGCAGTCTGGGGCTGAGCTGAGGAGGCCCGGGGCCTCAGTGAAGGTCTCCTGCAAGGCTTCAGGCTACTCTTTCAGCAGTTACTGGATGAACTGGGTGCGACAGAGCCCTGGACAAGGACTAGAGTGGATTGGAGATATCTACCCTGGTGATGGTGATACTGATTATGCTCAAAAGTTCCAAGCGAGGGTCACCCTCACCTCGGACAAGTCCTCCAGCACAGCCTACATGGCGCTGAGCAGTTTGACGTCTGAGAACACAGCCGTGTATTACTGTGCGAGACACAGTGTGGTCACCCACATCCTGACTGTGTCAGAAACCCAGAGGGAGGAGCAGCTACCTAGATGATGAATGACAGAGATGATGAGACTGAAGAAATTTATCAGTCCATGGTGCAAAATATTATATTGTGGACTTTTTTGCAAAAAATAATGAAAATTCTCTTCATCAAGGTAGTGGCAGGGGCTGGGAATATAGCTCAGTGGCAAAGCGCCTGCCTGGCAAGCATAAGGTCATGAGTTCAATTTCTGGTGTGAAAATAAATAAATAAACAAGATAGTGAAAATTACTTTTGTGATCTGGAGTTCGCATCTTGTAATATATAGTCCAGAATATGGATGGTTCTGGGCCATTAAGGTGTAACTGAACCCTCGTTTCCTAGCCTATCATGTTCTCAGAAACTCACACTAGCTGCCTCTGGTTTTCTGGGTGAATGTTTGTGTTCTGCCACGTTTCCTCTCACAAAAGTATGCGGTCTTCTTGCAGACACTCAGACACCAGAGAGAAAGACAGAGCGAGAGAAACAGGGAGACAGAGACATAGAGAGAGACAGAGAGAGAGAAAGAGACAGGCAGAATCATGGATTCTTGGTCACAACAACATACCAAGAATGATCACCATCTAAGTAGAAATATGAACCCTGAATCCAAGATAATGTATATCATATATTGACATAGAGAAATCCAAATGCATATAACCATGAATACACTGCACAATAAAGAAGTTTCAGGGAAGGTACATTCACTGTTTTAACCCGATTTATGTAGATATCTTCTTCTGAATTATGATATTAATTAATTTTGGCCCACTTGATAATCCAAACAGTAGCTACTTGAGAAGGAAAAAGGAGTTTGAATTATATAGAACCTATTTAGTAGTTATGGCTATAGGGAGTATATTTTAAAAATGAAAAGAATAGATGATGAATCGATAAGCCTAGGATAGATAGACAGATATACGTAGATAGATGATAGATAGATAGACAGATAATAGATAGACAGATACATAGATTGATATCATGTAAAGGCATTATATTAAATTTTCCTTACCCAATTTATATAGTTTTTTCACAAAATAAGGTAGAGCAATATTTGGTTTTAATATCTCTGTGCAACCTGCTCCACCTGAACTGAGTCAGGACTGCCTTATATGTGACCTACAACCATCACGCCAGTGTGACCATGATGTCCACAAGGTGATGCATCCCTGAAGCCCAGGAAACACTGGAATGAGACAAAGAACAACACATTTTTAATGTAGGAAAGAGGGTCCATGAATCTCACTACGCATGCTCAACTCTGTCCTGGAGCTCTTGAGGGAAGAGCTGTGTCCAATGATGAGGAGCCCAAGCACCAGTACTGGGCCCAGTTCTAGCAAGTGTGAACTCTTCATCACATTGCCTCTCTCACTGAGGCTTCTGTGAGAAATTATACACGTGTGTGATGACTTAACACGGATTCCTATATGTATTATTTGAGTGAGTAAAAGTAGGGTGCTGAAATGAAATAATTTTAATGAAAGAATTTCCTTATGATCAACTTCTTGTGATGTAAATTCAGTTGGTAATTTGGTCAAATGTAGTCCAGTATCACATGTTCTGAGGTCCGAGCACATAAAAGGAGCCACGAACAAGGGACGTCCATTCCAGCTGAGCATCTTGAAGCATTGGTAGAACACCAACGGTAACTAGTCCTGACCTTGAGGGTCCAGTTTGCCCTCCCTCTGCTTCTCACAGTCTTCTCTGTGATTCTGAGGGCATTGAGCTTGTGGCATAACCTGATCTCCCTAATCTTACTCATGGTTTCTACTTTGGCAGTGAAAGCTCTTAGTAACAGTGAGCAGTATACACAGAAAGACTGTCATGAGAAGTAAGAGATGCACAACCATGCAAAAACCCAGAAAATTAACAGAGCTTAGAAAGTCAGACCAAATGACTAAATTCCACACAGTCACGGAGCTCAGGATAGACAGACTTGGGTGCAACATATCTGTGTGTTGTCGAAGAAATGCCCACTCTGTGCACAATTTCTTGCCATGAAAAGGACTTGCTGTGCTGGAGGCATACGTGGCTGGCACCTTTCCAGTTCAGTAGCAAAGTGAGGCTGGGAGGTAACTTGCCATCAGCCAGCTGTGCCCGAGTCCACCCCAGCATTCCCAAGCCCAGACTGCCTCAAAGGAGAAGCATAAGATAGTCAGACATGACGTCCTCCACATCCTCAGGCTGACTGGACATGAAGACAGGGTGGGTTATCCATAAACTGTCCCTGTGGGATGACACACGCACATTCCGACACTCCATGGAGCAGACACCTGTTCAGAGAGTACCTGACAATGACTCGCCCACTGTCCCTCTCTGTTGCTCACCATCCATCCCTTTCTCTGCCAGTCACAGACAGAACAGGACTCATCAGACAGGAGTAGCCTTCTTTTCCCCCACATGCAGTGCTCTTGCTTGAGGGACACTATCCATCTTGGTCTCCTCCCATCCTCCAGGACAGGAAGCACAGGGAGGACCCTGTTCAGTAGTGGGGATGGGCCTCAGCTGTGATGTCCTCCAAGCACAGGTCTCATGGAAGCCTTAGTGTCCTGAAATCCTGGTCCCCAGTGCGCAGGTGTTCTCGCATAGATGTCAGGCATAGGAACAACCTCTGAAGACCCATGTGTTTCCATCACAGGCTCACACCCCTGAGTTCTGAGTCCTCCCATCAGGGTCAGGACTTTGGGGAGGGGAATGCAAGTCTCCAGCTCCTCCCTCCCTGGGTCAACCAACCCAGCAGGGCCTGGGTCAGGACTCCTGTGCCCACCATGGACAGGCTTTGTTCCGCACTCCTGCTGCTGCCTGTGAGTGCTCGGATGAGGCCCTCAGGGGTGCAAAGGCTCCTGTCCTCCCCTGAACCAGCTTCACCTTCTCTGTTTCTGCACGGAGTACTGTCCCAGATTACACTGAAGGATTCTGGCTCTGGACTGGTGACCCTAACACAGACCCTCATGCTGATCTGCTTCCTCTCATGCTTCTCACTGAGCACATCTGGTATGGGTGTAGCCTGAATCCGTCAGCCCCCAGGGAAGGACCTGGAGTGACTGGCAATCTTTTATTGGGATGATGATAAGAACTACAGCCCAGCACTGACGAGCCGGCTCTCAGTCTCCAAGCACACCACCAATAACCAGGTGTTCCTTATTATGACCATTGTGGGCCCTGCAGACACAGCCATATATTATTGTCAAGAAGAGCACAGAGTCTTAGCCTCAAGATCTGCCCGTACAAGATCTCAGGCTGGACTTCAGCCCAGTTGCTTCCCCACCATGCAGATCAGGAAGGCGGGGAGAATGTGTCCGTCCTTTCCGACTCTGGGGACCCTTCCTCCCCAAGACTGTGGGCCCAGTTTTCTGGTTACTTTTCAAATTCCAAAGCATTTGACCTTGTTTGCTCTGCATGTAAGAGAGAGATGATATTTTCTGTTTAAAAGATGCATCATAGCAGTTGCCTGGTACCGGGACCAGATGGGTCACTGCTAGGACACAACCTACGTCTACATCCTAGCCAGTAGCAAAATACAGATCACCACAATACAGTCCAATAAAGACTGAACTGCAGGATATGAAACTGGACACCACGGGGTCCCTATGGTGACATCACACACATGGTTACTTCTGTATGCAGTATGTGCCCCTCTTCACACATTTGTTTTAATTCAGGTTCTTCCCCACACTTTAGGGTACATTCTGGGATTTGTATAGCTAATCTGAAGAAAGTGCAACAATACTGTCTGCTCCTTTTCCTGCTGGCAGCTCCCAGACATGAGGGCCCCAAAGTTCAGACAGGAACCTGTGGGGATGCTGCATCTGAGCTCAAAACTCACTGTGTTCTGTGTCCCAAATGTCCTTACCTAGGTGCAGCTGCAAGAGATGGGACATGGTCTGTCCCTCAGCTCTGCCTTTTCTGGTCACTGCACCAATAGTGATTGCTCTGAGAGCTGAATCCATCAGCCCTCAGGGAAGGGGATTGAACGGGCAGGGCAGGATGATTTTAAGAGAGGTACAGCTGATAATCCATCCCTGACAGTCAACTCAGCATCCTCTAAGACACATCTGAGAATTAATTTTCCTTGCAGGTTGGCTCAGTAAACATGGAGGACACAACTGGGCAAGATATGTTGTGAGGAGAAATGAATGTAAGCCCAAATACAAAACTCTCCACAGGCATGCTCAGGACCAGCAGGGTGTGCTCACCACCAGCAGGGGTGCTCAGGACCAGCAGGGTGTGCTCAAGACAAAAGAGAGAAGGATTTTCAGGATCAGTAAGGAAAGATCTGGACTGTCAGAGAGGGCACGGGGGATCCACAGAAAACCAGCAAGGGACCCAGTAGTGGGTGTTGAGAAAGAAACTGGAGAATGAGCCCCTTCCTGTCAATATCTGGGATTTTCCTCTCTGTGCTAGAATTGTATAATCCGAGGAGACCCTGCAATCCATCTTTTGTAGTTCACTTGGAAGGGGCAGAGCACCAAGGCATGTGAGTGCTTCTGCTGGTGTTCAGATAGAATACATAAGTGTTTGCTAATTCTCTATTTCTTTATATCTTTCATATTTACTTTGGTGGAAGGATAATCACAACGTGCATATACTAGAAAGAAGACTGAATTTTAGGTTATATATGCTTTGGAATACCCACCACTGTGGTCACCATCTCCACCAAGAATTAATCTGCTACGTTTACCACCATGAGAATGGACTATCTCAAGCAGAAATAAATGTTTCAGCTGAGGAAATGGTGGAATAAAGGAAGACACAGGAAGGAGAATTTTCAAAAAACTCTAGGAGAATTTATTGCCTTATATGACCCTGCGAACAATTATGTCAGTACTCAACAAGTTGTATATTTATGTTAAAATATATATCATTTAGTCATCACTAATTGTATATGATATACATAAATTAGTGTGGAAATATTAATACAGAGATCGATAATAAAACAGGTTATATGAGAATCAGCTACAGGCTTGAAAATTCTGGTTGTGTAATTATTTAGGGAATCTTCAGGATGCAGGAAATCATGTCAAGTACTCTCATTAGGGTAAGAGGTCTGGAAACATCACCAAGCATGCGAACTCTGCCGTGGAATTGCTCACGGTGCATGTAAACACTGTGAGAAGGACAGAGGTAAACACATGAGATGTTCTCATCACGTGTGAGCTCAGATCTCATTGGTCCATTGTGCTTCATGCTCTTGATGCACAGCTTCAAAACTTAGGAAATGACCAAACCCATTTATTACGTACATTTGTAACTATGAGAAAACTAATGAGGTTAAGTGTTCAACACAACTCATGCACACAGTAAGAAATCATATATTCCCTATTATGAATATGTCAAAATATCTGCTGGAACAATCTCATGTGCTCCTCTAGCTGAGGCTTCCACAAGACAGCTGTCTATATATCAGGAGGTCATGCAAATAGAGCCTCAGGCTGCTGATGAAAACCAGCCCAGCCCAGCCCTGACTCCGCAGCTCTGCAGAGGAGCGCAGCTGTGCACGCCCAGGATTTGCACTTGTTGATCAGGCCTGAGCACCCACGGCCCATCATGGAGCTCTGGCTGAGCTGGGTTTTCCTTGTTGCTGTTTTAAAAGGTGATTTGTGGTGAACAAGAGATACTGGGGGTGTGAGTGGACATGAGTGGGATAAACAGTGGGCCTGTGTGACAGTTTCCTGAGCAGGATGTCTCTGTGTTTGCAGGTGTCCGGTGTGAAGTGCAGCTGGTGGAGTCTGGCGGAGGCTTGGTGCAAGCTGGCGGGTCCCTGAGACTCTCCTGTGCAGCCTCTGGATTCACCTTCAGTAACTACTGGATGGACTGGGTCCGCCAGGCTCCAGGAAAGGGTCTTGATTGGGTTGGGAGAATTAACCATAATAGTGGTACCACAAACTACGCAGGCTCTGTGAAGGGCCGATTCACCATCTCCAGAGACAACGCCAAGAACACGCTGTATCTGCAAATGACCCAACTGAAAACCGAGGACACGGCCGTGTATTACTGTACAACACACAGTGATGAGATGTCAGGGTGAGCCCAGACACAAACCTCTTTGCAAGGCAGCTCAGGACCAGCAGGCGGGGCTGGAGATGCATAAGAACCAAGCGTTGATTTAGAGCGAGGTTAAAGCTGTTTTTCCTCTTAGGATCTGAGACTCCTTTTCAACATGAAACACTCCCAGCTACTCCAATTTCCTATGTCTGTCCTTACCTCTGATGTCTCTCGTTAGATGCACTTGTTTAAATAGGAGAACACATTCTCAGCTGTGGAAGCCTCGACTTAACACTTACTCTAAAAATGCTGCTGCGGTTTTCATCAGGATAAGATCCTTGGCAGTGTCAGGGAACCTGCTAAGTTCTCATAGGAATTTGGAATCCACAGTGAAAGGCAGTCAGTCTGAGTATAGACAACAACCTCACTTCGGCGGCGATCAGGTCCAACAAAAGCCATGCTCAACCGGGGGCTGCTCAGGGTACTGAGGACCACGATAGAGTCCTCAGCATGATCAGGATGCCCGGGAACCAGACCTCCTGGGTCCCAAAGCAGAAGCAGGTGCACTGAGGCTCTGGGCAGACTTTACCTCACGGTCCTTGCTATTCAGCCCCCGGTGAGTCATTTCTGTCCCTTTATTTACACGGAATAATGATGAGCTCAGAGTTTTTCCTTGTCTTCTTCATGCACGCTAACATTTATATGCAACGTCTCACATAATATGTAGAATATTTTTAACACTTGATAGCTACATTTGTTGAATTTGTAACAAATTTATTTTAATATTTCAAGTATCAATAATCTCACCATGTAAAAGTAAAATGTCCAATGTAGACCAGTAGACACCAAGAAAAAAATTTATAGCC